GAGGCCCTCGAATTCAGGAACGGCGCTCTCGTTCGAGGCTTCCTCTCAATTCAACCACGTTGGCGGGGGCCCAGCCACGACGACAAAGGCTCCTGCTTGATACTTCCTCGCGATTGACTCCGAGAGCCCCTGGCCAGGAAGGCCCCCGAACTCAGGAACGACGCTCTCGCTCGAGACTCCCTCTTGATTCAATCAAACTGGTGGGGGCCACATGCGACGATAAGGGCTCCCAATCATACTTCCTCTAGATGTTTTCGCAAAAGGCCCTTGCCCACCGAGGTCCTGCCGCGCTGCCCACTGCGGCCCCCGACACACAACCCACTGAGGCCCAGAGTAAGCCCACAGGGACCGCGGCAAGCTGCCCGCGGGCCTTCTGGCACAGCCCGCATAGGCGCCAAGCGCGCCCACAGAGAGCCGAGCGCCCTGTCCAATGAGGCCCTCCGGCACAGCCCACAGAAGCCCAAACCCCCGCCCCAAGCGCCAACGGAGGCCCCAACGCGCTGCCCACGGAGGCCCCCTGTCCCACAGAGGCCCCGAGCGCGCCAACTGAAGCCCCCGCGCGCTACCCACTGAGGCCCTCGGGCACAGCCCACAGGCTCCCGCGCGCTACCCACTGAGGCCCCCGACGCAGCCCACAGGCTGTGAGCGCGCCCACAGAAGCCCCAGCGCGTTGCCAACGAAGGTCTTTCATACAGAGGCCCCACACGCGCCCGCAGAGACTCCTGCCTACAGGCACCCGGCGCGCCGAGGCCCCCGCACGCTGCCCTGCCCACAGGCCGCAGCCCACAGACCCGAGGCGCGCCCACGGAGGCTTCCGACACAGCCCACAGGAGGCCCCAGCGCGCTGACCGCCAAGGCCCCCGACGCAGCCCACAGGTCCCAGCGCGCTGCCCACTTTGAGGCCCCCCAACACAGCCCGCAGAGCCCCGGGCGCGCCCACCGGCCCCTGACGCAGCCCACAGGCTCTTGCCGCGGGGACTCGCCAGGTTGGGTCTCGATCCTGTTGACCGGGATATGCACGTGGACACGGCGGCACCCTTCAACGAACAGCGCCAGGCAGCAGCTAACAACCGCCCCCGCCGCCCGAGGCACCACACCGCCAGCCAGACCTGGATCTTCTTGACACCACCACCCCCGGCGCCCGATCCTGCCCAACAGTGACGGGTTCGTGCTCGCGTCCGGGTGCCTTGTCCGGTTCCTTGGCGCCCGCGCGACGCTGCGTCCTCTTTCCCAACGGCCGGGGAAGGCCACCAAAGCGCGCGCCCGCGCCCGAACGAGCACGCCGCTGGACAGCCCCTGGGGCCCCACCAGTTCTCCCCAAGCATCCGCCAGAGTGGTTGGAGCAGTGATCGGTCTGCCAGCGATTCTTGTCGACTCTTCGGCGGCCTCTGCCGCGCTGCCACCGCCGGCGGCCAACCAGGGAAGGCGGGCACGCGGGCCCCCGACCCCTCCGGGGAGCCCTTTTCCAAGCGCCACGCCCCGAAGAGCCCCCGGGACCTTTTTTGGGCACGATGCCCACCCAGCGCTGACGGCGGCCCGAGCTTGCGCGATTACACCGAGTCAGCGTGGACTGCGCTTGCGATGCTCCGTACGTGCGTCCTCCACCCTCGGCGGCCTGAGCATCAGGGCGACAGGCGCAGCGCGGAGCGAACGCCCCTGCGGGCCGAGGCCGTCGAGGCTCGCGCGGCCAAGCCCCCAACGAGCAGCGAGGTGCGCGCGGCTTTCCGCGGACACCCCGTACTCCAAGAGCTTCGGGAGTCTGGCCAGCGCCCCGCCTGGGGACATCACTCCCGACGACGTCGAACGGACGCGCTGGCAGCACCCGCGCGGCTGCTGGCCTGCAAGCGGACGGGGACGCGGCGCAGAGGGAAGCACAGGCCTCCCTCCGAGTGTCGACTGCCGGGCCAGCGGGCTTCTGACCTCCTCAACATAAGACGCTCTGCCCAACGCCGCCCAGAGGGGCGAGGTCACACACCAGCTCCCCCTCGTAAACCCTTGCGCCAGGGGGCAGGCCCTGCCTGCCGCGTGCAAGGACTTCGCGGGCGCCGGCCCTGCCGAAGAAGGATCGGGGCTTGCGCCCAGTCGCGCTAGGGCGACGAGGTTTGTAAAGCTGGGCTTGTCCAACGTTTTTCCACGCCTTGGACAGGGGGCTCTACTCCGCGCGGCCCGCGAACTATTTTCTTTGAGCCGATTCGCGCCCCTTCCACCTGCCAGGCAAACACGTTGCTCCGAGAGCGGGGTGCCGCAGGGTGGTCCCCTGGGGCCCGTGCTTTTTTGCTGCCACGGGGGCCGCGGCGGCAGCAGACACACCCCAGCTTGCCCCGCAGCCGCAAACTGCTGGTTCGCCTGGCCAGAGCTGCTTGGGGAAGCCGAGCGGAGCTCCGAGCCTTGAGCCCCGCTTTGGGCGCAGCCGGCGCGACGGCGAGAGGCCAGGAGCAGCCCCGGCGGAGCCCAGGGCGGCCAAAAATCCTTTGCTCCACAGCGCGCCGCCGAGGCGCACCTCCGCGCAAAGCGCCATGGTGCCAACGGCGTCGTCGATGTGAACTATGTGTCTTTGGACGACAGCTGCCTCGCGGGCGACGCGCCGACCGCCGCGCGCCTCCCCGGCTGGCTGGAGGCGAAACTCGCCATGGTGGATGTCCATCGGAGCACTGGCCTGGGTACGTGCGAGGTGGCTCCCGCTGGCGGAGGCGCTTCTGACGTGCCACAGAACAGCTCCCCACCGAGCGTCCGCCTCCGCACCAATCGCCAATCGCCTAATCGAGCTGCGCGGCGCGTTCACGAGAGACGCGGACTTTTCTGCGCGGAGCACCCATTGCAACGATTCGCGAGCGCCGCCGCGCTGATGGAAGTGTTGAGGGAGCTTGACGAGCGCACGTTGAGTTAGGCTACCCCGCGCGCGCAGAGCAGCAGATACATCAGCCCACGCTCATCAAGGGGGGTCTTGGCTTGGCTTCTGCCGCGAGACACGCCTCCGCCCGTTTCCTCGCTTCTGGAGCAACGCACGCCGACCTCGTCTGGCAGGTTTTTCCCCAGCTACTCCAACAGCACTGACCGCGACGGGAGTAGCCAGGCGGCCGCAGTGCAGGCCCACAACGCTGTCGCACGGAATGCCGACGGGGTGCTTCTGGCTCGCGCACAGCACGGCGACCAGAAGGCGCTCTCTGCCGCGGAGAACAACGCCACGCTCGACGGGCTTCTGACGAGGCCCCCCTGGGCGAGCACCTCTCCCTGGCGCAGGTCCCAGGAGCTGCTGCGCGGCTACAGGCGCTGCCCCGCGATGCCACTGGCATCGCGCCCCGGCGCGGCCTCAGGCAGATCGACCGGCAGCTGCGAGGCCACTTCCTGCAGGATGTGTGTTGTCAGATAGAATATACTTGTTCCCGGCCCCCCCCCACACACACACCACACACACACACACACACACACACACACACACACACACACACACACCACACACACCACACACACCACACTCACACACACACACACACACACACACACCGACACACCGACACACCGACACACCGACACACCTACACACACGCCCTTAAGTTGCCATGTCGCGGTCTCCAGGGGTGGCGCCGTGTGTAGACTGAGCTCGCGCGTTACGCATGCGTGTCCGTCTGAAGTCCTTCTGGGCTTAGTCGTGTCTGCACATCCCCGTTTGGTTCCACACATCGACCCCAGGCCAGGCTCAAGGGACTTAGTGGCCAGCACCACCACCACGCGCGCGCGTCGGGAGCTCGCGCGCGATGGCGCCCTCTTTCGGGCACGCTGGCGGGCACTTGCAAGCCGACTTGCTGCACGGCCGCGCTGGGGAAGCAGCGGCACTGCAGCACCAGGGGAGGCAAAGCGCAAGCAGAGCCAGCAAGGCCACGGTAGGCGCCGAGGACGAGGAAGCAGCGCGGCAGGAACCAGGGCGCCGGAAGGCGGCGCAGGAGGAGACGGAGGGCACCTGAGCGCGCAGACGAGGCCGGGCGAAAGAGGCGAGCGAAAACGCCCAAGGAGGCAGAGGAGCCTGGGCGCCAGGAAGAGGAGGCTGAAGAGGGCGACGAGAAGAGAACTGAGGCTGAGAAGGAAGGACAAGGGAGGCGCGCCGGAACGCCTGAGGAGGCAGAGAAGGGCGGGCGCGAGGACGAGGACGAGGACGAGGAGGCCGAAGAAGGCGACGAGACGGCGCAGACGCGACCGAGGGGCAGCAGGGGCGGCAGAGGCAGGCAGGCCTTGGCGAGCTGAAGGAGCCAGCCCCTGGGGACCCAGGGCCGCCCCCAGGCCTCCTGGACGCGCGTGCAGCGCAGGCCCAGGAGGAGGGCTCGAGGGGGCCAGGAGGAGCGACGCTGGCAGTGGCAGCAGCTCCAACAGGAAGGCTCCGGTGGCAGGCCGCCGACAGCGAGAAGACAAAGGAGCACCAGGGAAGCAGAGGACGAGGAGGAGAGGCAGGGGTACGAGGAGGAGAAGAATGCGGCAGCAGCGCCGCCAGGCCAGCAGGAGACGCAACAAGGCGCAGACGAGAGAGGCAGGGCTCCGCGCGGACCAGCCTACACGCGCAGGAACACGCGCCGACGCCACAGACGGGGGGCCAGGCAGCATGTAGCGGCAGGCTTCGAAGCCGCGCTGGGAGAGCACGGCGCGCTCCTGGAGCGGGAGACCGCCTTTCAACGGCGGCGAGGCTTTCTCATCGAGAGGTTCCAGAGGCGCTGGCTGCAGGCCGCGCTCCAGAGGAGGGCGCTCGAGGCAGAGGGGGCCGAGGAGGCGCCGCAGCGGCCGCAGCACCCGCAGCGACAGCCACCGCAGCTCCAGCAGCAGGCCAAACGCGAGGTGGCGCAGCAGGCCGAGGAGAGACGCCGCAGCAACGCAGGGCCAGGCATGCAGCGGCTCACGCCCGCGGGCTGGCGGTCACGCTACGGCCAACCCTTACCACGACCACACACCAAGGCAGAGGCGAGAGCAGAAATGGCGCGAGCAGGGCTCCTAAGGAGCATGCCTGCCATCGCGAGGCAGCCGGGCGGCCCAGCCACTGGACGAAGAGGACGAAGTACAGCCACCGAAGAGGGCCAACATTTGCCACGGCGACCAGAGCCACAGCTTCAGCAGCACCGCCGACCACCGCAGGGGCGACCGCAGCAGCAACAACGCCGAGAACGGCGGCGGCAGCAGCGCCAGGAGCGGCGAGAAGTTGCAGCGGACGACCGCGGCCAGCAGCAGCACCACGAGCAACACAGCGGCGGCGACCAGCAGCCCCAAGAGCAGCAAGCACAGCCAGCAACACCACAGCGACCACTGGGGAAAAGCCCACAAGACCAGCAACACCACGCCAGCAGCACACAGCACCAAGACCAGCACCACGGCGACGATAATGACCAGCACCACAGCAACGACCAACACCACAGCACGCACCCAACGACCAGCACCTTAGCACGCACCCACAGCGACCAGCAGCAGCAGCAGCAGCAGCAGCAGCAGCAGCAGCACACAGCACCACAGCGACCAACACCAACGACCAGCACCACAGCACGCACCAAACGACCAGCGCCACAGCACGCACCCAACGACCAGCACCACAGTGACGATCAGCACCACCACAGCACCACAGCACGCAGCCAACGACTGCGGACGGCAGCCCCCCGGCAGCAGCAGCAGCAGGAGCAGCAGCTGCAGCATCTGCAGCAGCAGCAGCTGCAGGCACCGCGGCAGCGGCCAGGACGACAGCAGCCAGCAGGGCCCTCCGCCACCCCAGACGGCCATTCCAGGCGTCTAACCGCCAGCCCCCCCAGCCCTTCCGAGGGAGGGGGCTGGCGTCAGCTGCAGCCCGTGCCCCCCAGGGGAAGAGCCCCATTCCCACGGTAGGACTCCCATGGGGCCAGTTCCCCATCAGGGTTCGCGCGGCTCTGCTGCGGTCCCCAGTGGCGCCCCAGCTTGCGCAGCAAGCCCACAGGAGCAACGCGACAACAACTTCGACCACAAGAGGCGGTACGACTCCCAACAGTGGCGCCGCGAGCAGCAGCACAACGACGACGACCAGCAGCATCACCACGACGACGACAAGCAGCAACATCAGCAGCAACACCACCACGACAACCATCACCAGCGGCAGCGTCGCCACCGCGACCAGCTGCAGCGGCACCACCACGACGACCAGCAGCAGCAGCACCACCACCACCACGACGACCACCACCAGCACCAGCAGCAGCAGCAGCAGCAGCAGCAGCAGCAGCATGGCAACCACCACGACGACACCCTGCGACAGCGACCAGCAGAAACACCAACGCCACCGCCACGACAGCGACCAGCGGCAGCACCGCAACAGCGACCGGCAGCGCCGCCACCAGCACCAGCGCCAGCACAAGCACCGCCACCACCACGACAGGAGCAGCGCGCACTGGCGAGGAGTCCGCGGGAGGCGCGCTACGGCTACCGCGGACAACGGGTCGGCGAAGCCAGCCACCCAGGCCCCCCCGGGCCAGCCGACGAGCCGCCGGGCACACTTGAACGCAGATCGGGGGGCCAGCGCTCGCGGAGACGCCGCCGCACATGCTGTCGGCGCCAGAACGGTTCGCCACGCCAGAATCGCGAGCAGGCGGGCGGTCGGCCTCACCACCGCCACCGCCACCACAGCTGAGCCACTTCGAAAGCGTTTTCGGCGCGATTCCTGCAGGTCCTCCCGGGCCAGAAGGGAGGCGGCGGTACTTCTCGGGCCTCTTTCGGCCGCCAGCAGCCAGGCGCCCCGCGGGGGAGGCAGCAGAACGCGAGCCAGCCGACGAGCAGTCGCCGCCGCAGCAACAGCAGGGGCCGGAGCCAGACGCCGGAGCTCCTTGCTGGATTTGCCAGGGACCGCTCGACGGCTCGCGGGTGCAATGGCCAGACTGCGGCCACGTCCCACGCTACTTCCACGCGGCCTGCCTGGCCAGGTTCCGCCCCCTCCGCCGGGGTCTCGCCCACCTGCGGAATTCGCGCGGGGATCCCAGCCGGGTAGATGGCGCGGCGTGCCCGCCATGCAACCACCGGTGGGGGGATGGCCCGACCTCCGCCGCGCGGCTTGCGGAGCTGACAGAACACCTGCAGCGTGGCGACGGGCCCCCTTCCCGGGGGCGCCGGTGTCTGGCTTGCCGAAGACTCGCAGGCGACCCGCGCAGCGACGAGGACCGCGCGAACCAGTGCGCGGGAGGGCCCCGCGTACTCCCAGACGGGCCAGCGCCGCACGCGATCGCCATGTGCCCGCGCCACCCGCGCCAACCCTTGCGCTGGTGACACTCGCGAGGGCCTGGAGGGCTAGCCGGCAGCTGGGAGTGCCCCGCCTGCGATGTCGCCCTGCTGGGCCGCGACGTCCCGCCGCCACAGGGCGCGAGGCCGCTGCTGCGCACCTGCGGCCGGCCGGGGCAGGTCGAGCGGGTCGCCCGGGCGAGCGGGGTCGCAGGAGGGCTTTGGAGGTGGCAGGCAGAGTGGCTTTGCCAGGGCTGCGCCGCAACAGCATTGCCCCAGCCAGACGCCGCAGGGCCCGAACGGCAGCCAGAGCCAGGAGCAGGCAGGCGGCGGCCCAGAGCCAGCGCCGGCGGGGCCAACGCCTGCAGCCGCAGAGGCCGCCGAGCCCGCACTGCCGCCAGAACAAGGAGGGGGCGGAGGAGCCCCGGAGCCAGCGGAGCCAGCCGCCACGAGACCACCCCAGCGCAGTCCAGTCCCAGGATGGCCGCCGCCGGCAGTGCCCATCCAAGCAAACACGAACTCGGCGGTTTATGCGCCGCTCCTGCTGGCAGCAGCCGGCCTCCTGGCACCGGCCGAAGCAGTGCAATGGGGCGCGCGCCCCCTGACACAAACCTGGTGGCTACCAACGGTAGCGGCGCTGGAGCAAGCCGAACCAGCGCCATCCGAGGACTTCGCGCAAGGCCTCGAAAACATGGGCGCCCGCCCCGGCGAAGTGCACGCCGTGATAGCAGCAGGCAGCGGCAATCGCCGCCCAGGACACGCGCACTTGGCCCCAGCGGTCAAAGCTGCGGCCGCCGCGAGAATGGCTACATACCGCCCCTCATGCAGGACCTGCTGCTTCAGACGTCCGGCGGCCTGGTGCTCGCGAGGGGTGT